AAAAAAAAGATGCATACTGATGTATGTCAAAGTATTTTAAGGACCCCAAAGATACATTAACATGTTCAAAAGACTGAGGGCGGGAATTGGGGTGAGTGACTAAAGGGACTTTGTTTTGTATTCTTTTTAAGGAGAAGAATATATTTTACACAAGCAACTGAAATTTATTCTAAAAATCAGTATATTTTAAAATATTCCAGTGCCTTCTATGGATTATACTAGATGTAGGGGAAATGGACCCAAACAGGAGACTTCGCAGAAGCTACAGCCCAGGGGAGGAGAAGGGCGAGCTGATGAGAATATAGTGTTTTTGTCCTGGGATTGGGAAAGGGCCGTGGAAGACGCGAGAAGGACCCCCTAACTGTCCTGGTTAGCGATCGCTGCTAACGCTTAGTGGCACAAAATCATCCCAACACTTAGTGGCAGGAAATGGCCATTCAATCAAGCTCATGTCATCTTTGGGTGTTGGGGAGATTCCAGGATGTCTGCAGCTTCAGCTGAGACGTCTAAAGGGCTGGGGGTGAGTCGGCGGCCATCTGGGATGACCTGGAAGCATCCTCGCTCACATCTGGTAGTTGACACTGGCTGCCATCCAGAAGGTCTCTCCACATGGCCCGTTTGGGCTTCCTCACAGCGTGGGGCTGGACTCCGAGACGAGGGACGCGTGTGCTGACTTTATGCTCTAGACTCTGGGGTCACAGAGCATCACTCCTGCTGTACTCTTCAGATGGAAACAATCACAAAGCTGTGTCCACACTCAAGGGGACAGGACATACGTCCCACCCCTCAGTGGAAGGAATGTCAAGGTCACGTTGTAGGAACATATGGGATGAGAGACATTGCCACCGCCATCTTTGGGAAACAGTATCTGCCACACTAACCTATCCGATGGGGCAGCAGGGAGGGTGGCATCAGACGGGGCTTCCTGGAAAACATGAGGCCTGAGCTGAGGCTTAAAGGGCATCCAGGAGTTGGCTTGGAAAAGGACAAGGAAGGTCACTCCATGCAAAGGGAACGATGTGGCCACAGTCCTCCAGTGAAAAGGGGGGGGCATGGCCCCATGGCAGACTCAGGAAACCGGTCGCTGAGTTAGGCTGGAGGAAGCGATGCAAGACGGGGCTGAGGAGTGGGCAGGGGCCAGATGGTGTGGGGGCTCTCGGGCCGTGGCAAGGATTTGGGTCTTGACCCTCAGGGCACCGGAAGCCACTGAGGTGTGTGGAGCAGGGGACTCATCACACTGTGCTCTCTCGGGTAAGGATGAAGGTGGGAATAAGAGAGGGAGCAGAGCGGCCAGCTGAGCAACCACTGCAGTGACCAGGGAAGAGCTGACGGCGGCCGTGGAGGTGTAGAAGAGGGCAGTGCCAAGAGGCAAAATCGATGGACTGGGTGACAGAGTCTATGTGTGGAGTAACAAGTCCAAGAATACGTCCCATCCACCAGGCAGCTTCTCGCCTCCTGGAGTCCAGGCCGGGTGGCCTCCCTCCACATTTTCCCTGGCCAAACACCCTCTGGATCGATAAGACTTCTGGCGAAAGAAGGAGACTTCCAGCCAGAAAGAAGGGCCCGAGACGCAGCATTCTCTCAGAGAAAGACCAAAACAATTCTCCTGGCTCGTCTCTTGTGCCCCTAAACTCATTATCCCACATGGCACCGGTGACAATTAGCGGGGAATTGCATAGACAGCTCCTGATTGGATCTAATTCCCTTGACATGAATCAATTACTCTGAGCAACGCAGCTTGAACGCCTTGACAAGCTGCCCCCTGTGAAGACGCCTCCTCCTTCCCGCATATACTTCTTTCTTCCCCCAGAATACACTGTGAGCTGTGAGTTCACAGGGATCCGGGTATTTTCATTAGTAATGAAAGCAGCAGGTCTGCTCACCCCGGTAGGGGTGAGTCCCAGGTGATTTCCACAGGGATGGGACCGGGTTGAGATTACAGGTCCCCACCCGCTGCCCCCAAGTATGGGTCCCAGGCATGGTGGCATGTCCCACCCTGGGTCCTGGGGACCCACAAAGCCAGTCCCCACACATCCGAGCTCCCAAGAACCTGCCACATTAGACAGGCTGCTTTGGCCCACAGCTCTCAGGCATGAACCCCCATCCACGCATCCCTCACTCAAGAATAAACGCTGAGTGGCAGCTCCATGCCCGGCACGGGTCTGAAGCCCCCCGCCCCCACTGAGCTCACATTCACGTGGAGAGAGGGACACGAGAAACACACATATATAGCACGAAGATGGCAAGGAGTCCTAGGGCGGAAATTCAGATGAAGAAGTGAGTAGGGGTTCCTGACAGCAGGGGAGGGAAAAGAGGTGTCGCAAACCGGAACAGTGTCATCGGGGACAGTCTTGTTGAGAAGGTGACCTTTGCGACAAGCCAAAGGGTGTGAGGGAGGAAGCCGCAAGGCCATCTGGGAAGAACATGCCAGGCGGGGGAGGAAGCGAGTGCAAGTGTCCTGGGGCAGGAGGGGTCGGGTATGTTGGAGCACCACCAGGGTCCAGTGCAGCTGGGACAAGGGAGAGACGGGCGAGTGACAGGAGGTGAGATCAGAGAGGTGATGGAGAGCCAGAGGGCGTGGGGCCTCTTAGGCCAGTGAGAAAATATGGCTTTGACCCTGAAGGAGATGGGAAGTCATTAGAGGTTTAAAAGATCACTCTAGCTGCTGCTGATGATGGTGATGGTGACAGTGATAATGATGTTAGCAATGGCCTTTCTTCTTGTCATGTTGCAGTTCGGCTTTTCTTTTCCCTTTTTTTTTTTTTTTTTTTTTATGTTTCGTCCAGCATGTAATCTCTTCCTCCTTTACCCTGGTAGCCCCTCTGGAAGTCCCCCACCCCCACCCCCATTATGTGAATAGCTTTGAGCACAGACCTACTCCAAATGAATTTTAAGACCTTTTTCTGCAGCATGTCACATTTATTCAATGATTTCTGGCCCCACTCCGGACCACTGCTTCCGTTGCAAATTCTGTTGCATTTCTCTCTTTTTAAAAAAACAAAAACCCCTATTTCCTTCTGGTTTTCAGTTAAAATAGGAATTGTTGGTGCTTTCCAGCTTCTAGCCCAATCTGGAGCTTCCGAGCGCCTACCCCTCCTGCCACTCCATACAGCCCGGCGGGTGGAACCCCTGACCAGGGCCCTCTCCTCAGCACCCCCCTCCCCCAGCCATGAGCCTGCATCTCACTTTGGGGATATCCCATGCCACTTCTTCACCTCAAGGTTCCCTGGGATCCAGCACCAGCTTGCAGTCCCACCCAACAAGCTCCTCTCCCTGTGGCACCAACCCCCTCACACCTCCCTTCTTCTAGAATAGGTGTGCGTGGCCTGATGAACCCAGCACCAGGTCAGACACCCGGGTTCAAGTCTCAGCTCTGAGCCAATGAGCTGTGTGGCCTCAGGCAAGTCACTTCGCCTCTCTGAGCCTGCCGGGTGAAACCACTACTCCGCATTCACGACTGGGTTTCGTATTCGACATTCCGATACGCCATGAAAAACTCCTGGGTGCCCCAAGTCACACCACAAAATTTTAGATTTCCTAGATTTCAGATGCCAGGTGAGGGGAAGGAAACAGTCGTTCTCTGTCCTCTGCTGCCTTGTAGAAAGAGGGGTCCTAACAGGCTCCGACACCTGCAGACAGGGTCCCTCAACACAGGATCTACTGAGAAGCAAAGCCATGTTGTCGCTGGGATACTTGGTCCTCAAGCCAGCCTGCCTCAGAGGCAACAAAGGAAAGCAGCTCTTAGATCTGTTGTGTGTCATCAACGACACCTAATCCAGCGCAGGAGGCTAGGAGCCGGCCAAGCAAAGGCAGGAGGAGGCATGCAGCCTGGCATGTGCCAGGGCCGGGGTGGGAGGGCACACACTCCCTAAGATGTGGATCCGTCCTCAAGGCGGCAGGTACCCGCTCATCACGACGGCCTCTCCTGAATCTGGACTGCGTCCTCTGGCCTCTCCCCTGAACGCCAGCCCGAGGCCTGTGGACATCTAACTCGGCATCACAAAGCCACGTCTTGATGTCTTTCTCCCCTCAAAATGTTCCCTCCCCCCAATTTTCCCACT